AATAGATTTTATATCTATCTACACAAAAAAAGTTCTTTTAGTTGCGTCTAGATTACTATCTATCCACGTTTTCTATATTTAGACAGTAAACATAAGAAAAAAAATGTGTTACCAGCAGGTTGGGCCTGCATATTTGGCAAGCAGGCTAGGTCGGCCCTCGGAATAATCTATTATTTTAAGTTTTTAATTTATTTTATTTTAAAATATAAACATGTCATTTCTTATTTTTTCAATTAAATTTCAAATTTAAATTATTTTTTATCATCTATACATATAATTTCATAATTTTAAATATTTTTTTCGTTTTATATTAAAATTATATTTATTATATATATCTTTTTCTAGTTTTATAGTTAATTCTAATAAGTATAATAATTAAGCCCAATAGACATAATAATAATTCTTATTAATATATGCTTAAAAAAATTTCATGAAGAAAGTAGTGAACGATATTAAATGATGAATCTTTTCCCACCTAGAAAGTTCAAAATTCAAATTTAAAAAGTTTAAATTTTCAATACTAAATACTTTCCCTCCCAATCGACATAATAATAAATATTATTAATAGGCTTAACAATTTTTTATGTAAAAAATAATAGGAAACATGCATAAAAGTCCGTGCACATTCTCCAAGTAATAACTTCTAATATTTACTCTTCATAAAAAAAAAACTTCTACTATTCACTTACGACATATGAAATTGTGTTAATTACACTCTTACATAAAATGAATGAAAATTGAATTTATTTCTTATTTATTACATTAAAATTTACATTTGTATAGTGGTCAAATTTTTATAATTTATTATTTACAGAATGATAGATATCATTATTAATTTTTTATTTAAATTTAAAAAAATTAAATTCTTTTGTATTATTTATATATATTTTTAAGAAAATAAGTTTTATCTCTTTTTATTAATAGTTTCTATATATAATTTTTAAATTGGATATACATATATATTTAAAACTTTGATATTAAATATTTTCTTAAAATTACTTGTACGGAATTTTTTTATCTTTTGTAATATTTTTAAGTTAAGCTTTTAATTTATTTTCGTATAAATATGTCATTTCTTATTTTTTTTTCATTTAAATTTCATTTCTAAATTATTTTTTATCAACTATATATTTATTTTTATAATTTTAAATATTTTTTTTGTTTAATCAGTAATTTTATGTTAAATTTAAATTTATTATATATATCTTTTCTCAAGTTTTATAGTTAATTCCAATATGAATAATAATTAAGCCCAATAGACATAATAATAAATATTATTAATATACTTAACAATTTTTCATGCAGAAAGTAGTGAAAAATATTAAATGCTGAATCTTTCCCACCTGTCAAGTTCAAAATTCAAATTTGAAAAGTGTAAATTTTAAATTTTAAATATTTTCCACCCAATAGATAAAATAATAAACATCATTAATAGGCTTAATAATTTTCTATGCACAAAGTAGTGGGAAACATGCATAGAAGTATGTGCACATTCTTCAAATAATAACTTCTAGTTATCCATTCACAACATAGAAAATTGTGTTAATTACACTCTTACATCAAAAAATGAAAGTTTAATCTCTTTCTAATATATTAAATTAAAATTTACATTTTTATAGTGATTATTTTTTCCTATTTTTTTACATAATGATATTTGTAATTTGTAATTTTTTATATTAAATTTTAAATTGGTTATTCACATAAATCTAAAATATTTATGTTAAATAATTTTACTTTTGATTTCTTGTACAAATTTTTTTCTCTTTTTGAATCATTATTTTAAGTTAATGTTTTAATTTAATTTATTTAAATTATAAATATGTCATTTCTTATTTTTTCAGTTAAATTTTAAATTTAAATTATTTTTATCAACTATAAATGTTTAACTCTTTTCCCACCTATAAAGTTAAAAATTCAAATTTAAAAAGTTTTAAATTTAAATTTAAAGAGTTAAACATTTAATGTTTTCCACTACTTTCTGCAAGGAAAAACGTTAAGCATATCATAAAAATTATGTTTTTTGATAGAACTATACATATATTTTTACAATTTTAATTATTTTTTCGTTTAATATATAAATTTATATTAAATTTAAATTTAAATTTATTTTATATATCTTTTTTCTAGCTTTATAATTAATCCTAATAGGTATAATAATTAAGACCAATAGACATAAAATTAAAGATTATTAATATGCTTAACGTTTTCCATGCAGAAAGTAGTGGAAAACATTAAATGTTTAACTACTCTTTTCCCACCTATAAAGTTAAAAATTCAAATTTAAAAAGTTTAAATTTTAAATATAAAATATTTTTTTCACCAAATAGACATAATAATAAATGTTATTAATAGGCTAGGATACCAAAAAAAAAATGTTATTAATAGGCTTAACAATTTTCCATACATAATGTAGTTGAAAACATGCATAGAATGTTGCGCACATTCTCCAAGTAAAAGTCTAAAATACTTAATGGCAAACATCCTTTTACGATGCAGAAGTTGGATGGTCATTCATTTTAGTTGAGTTATTAATAATAATAAATAATTATTAAGATTTGTGGCTTTTACAACAATCTAAATTATTTATGTTTCTTAAAATTAAGTCCAATAGACATTGATAGGGAATAAAATAACAAAAAAGAGATGTTCTTGCCAAAGAGTCAAATTATTTAAAATAAGATTGTCTTATTCTTGGAAGTAGGGATTATAGTGTAGGATACATAAGAAAATTGAGAAGAAAAAATCTTGAATATAAGTGATACTAAACAACAAAATATCAAGTTCGATTTTGATCTCGCTTGATACCGTTTTTTGAAGACTACAACCTCTGGTACATTTGAATCCAAGATAATCCTTATCATATATAGAGAGACAATTAGAGTATAAAAGAGTTAAAAATAATTAACAAATATTAAAAAAAAAAAATTAAACCCTTTATCCTCGCAAACTGGAGTATTATGATGTTCTGAGAAGACTGATTGTTTTCCAAAAACGTTCGCACTTCATCCACATACTGTTCGCATAAAGTGACTCAAGCTTGTGACCCCTAAAACCCTTAATCCTTGCAAGCTGGACGATTACAACGTTTTGAGGAGACTCGTTCTTTGCTAAGAAGGACTGCACTTTACCCACATGTTGCTCCCACAAAGAACGAAATGGAAAAAAAGAAGTAAAAAGAAACTAACAGAACGCAAAGTATTACCTTCTCATCTAATAGAACCATGTCCAGATTGTCGTCAAAATATTTATGCCGAAAATTAGGAACCTTCCAAGTCCTAACCACTCTCACCTTAATCCTCCACTCCTCCTTCGACGGATTAAGATCCTTAATGAAATCATACATGGAGTACATATTTGACACCAAAAAAGGTTGAGAAGATGAAGATGCAACAAATAACACGTAAGAACAGGATGAGGAGGGGAAAATCGCAAAAGGCGATGACCAAAGGAAAGAACCAAGCAGCACATATGATATATATACACACCTTCCAAAATGGAGTGAGGAAATGAACTCGCTCCACTGCCACATTTAATTGGCTCCGAAACCGTGGATGAGAAAGAGGGAAGACTTGGAATCGTTGTGGGTCTTGGGGACCCCACAATGCATAATGGTGCCATCGCCGAGATCTGTGGTGGTGGATTTGAGACCCGCGTCCGAGAAGGAGTAGCGGAAGCACCTGTCACGCGAAGCAGTGAAGCTGAAGCATCTAGCCATCTCGTGTGCTTTTTTTTTTTGGATAAAAAATTATGTTGTTTCGAGAAAGTTAAGGAGAATCAGTGTTGAGTTTGATAGATTATGCAGGGAAAATGAAATGATTGGTCGATGATGGATGAAACAGTGTTAGTGTTGTCGCCAATTGTTGCAGAGCGATAGATAGAGAACAGAGAGAGTCATTGACCAAAGGATGAGGAGGGGAAGAATCACAAAAGGCTATGACAAAAGGGAAGAACCAAGCAAAACATATGATATATATACACAACTTCCAAAATGGACTTGAAAAGTCTCTAAACTTCTTTTATTGTGTGCAGTGCATCATCATTTACATTTCAAATTTAATATTAAATGCACCTAACAATTACCCATGCATAAAATAGTGGAACTTTAATTCAGCCTAACCCCACAAAGATAACGATTCCCTTTTTTTCCACTAATTAATATTAATTTTGGATTTTAAATTAATTTTTGATTAAAAAAAAAATTCCAAAAGAAGAAACTTTTTAAACTTTCTCAAGTGTGAACATATTGGTGAAATTGAAGGAGGGAATGACATATCATCAAACTTTCCAATGATGTTTATTCCCTTAGTATATATAATGACGAGTGTGGCTTTAATTGGGATGTGCTACCCGTATTTTTAGGGGAGTCACATATCATATAGGTTGTTTGTTTACTTTGTTTTCCATTATAAGTCATCATGGTCTGTGGATGCCCTTGATTTAATTAAATGAATGTTTTTATTTTTGCGGTAATTAATTTTTCTCCTGTTTCTGTTCTCGCTTTGATATAAAAATAAATAAATAAAAACTTATAATTGCTTAATTGGTATTTCTAACATCGTTCCTTAATTGGTATTTAGTTGCTTACACTATTCGGTTCAATGTTCCACGTCTTCAAAATCAAACGATGTGTTATACGTTGTAATATTGGTGTCTTTTACTTTAACATAATTTCTTTTTTTTTGCACTTTAGCAATTGTAAACGAGTATTGTTCTGTTTTAATTATGGTGGCAGATTCTGATATGTGTTTCTTTACTGTGATTAATTTAATCATTGTTGCAGTTCGTGGAGTACAGCAAGATGATATATCTAGACGCTGACATTCAGGTTTTTAGAAATATTGATCACCTATTCGATCTGCCTGATAATTATTTTTATGCGGTGTTGGATTGTTTTTGTGATAAGTCTTGGAGTAGCACCCCGCAGTATAAGATTGGGTACTGCCAACAGTGCCCCGATAAGGTTCAATGGCCCTCTGAATTTGGTGCCAAGCCTTCTCTATATTTCAACGCTGGTATGTTTGTTTATGAGCCTAATCTTGACACATACAATGATCTCCTGAAAACACTTCAAGTCACAGAGCCTACTTCCTTTGCTGAGCAGGTTAACTCAATTAATTGAAAGCACATACATGTTATTTATGAAATAAATAAATCGAATTATTCAACCGCAGAGGGTAATAGTAAATTTGTTTTCATGTGTTGTAGGACTTTCTGAATATGTACTTCAGGGCCAAATACAAGCCCATACCTAATGTGTACAACCTTATGCTGGCCATGTTGTTGCGTCACCCTGAGAATGTTGAATTTGAAAAAATTCAAGTGGTTCACTACTGTATTAATGTGAGTGTGCTATATATTTCTAACTATGCTTCTCTATAAATTTATGAATTTAATTTTTGTTTCATTTTGAGATTTGATGAATTGTTGATAAATAATATATATATATATATGGTTATTGTTTCATTTAGGAGTCTAAGCCGTGGAGGTTCACTGGGAAGGAGGAGAACATGGACAGACAAGACATCAAGAAATTGGTAGACATGTGGTGGGAAGTTTATGAAGATCAGTCGTTGGTAGGGGTGTAAATGGGCCAGGCTGGCCCAGCCCAGCCTACGGCTCGGCCTACATTGAGCCCAGCTCAGGCCTAGCCTTTCAGGAAAGTAGAGTAGGCTTAGGCTTATAAAAAAGCTTTTTTAATAAATAGGCCATAAGCCAATTTTGTCAAGCCCGGCCTACAGCCTTGTAGGCTGGCCTATTTAATTTATTAAAATAAAATATATATTTTTATTATTTTATGTGGCAAAGACACAAAGTACCAAATACCAAAATCTCTTACTTTTTGTGCTATTTTATTTTGTGAAAGAAAAACTTGTATAATGTCTCCAAATTTTACATGTTGTTGCAGCTTAATACCATGGAACAATGGGTACCTTGGTGTATTATGATGTTACTGATGAAGATCTTTCAATAATAATCTTCTTTCCCTTGTCTTGATGGTGGTTTAAAGATTTTTAGATGAATGACATTCTCTTGTAGACTTTATTTCAGCATCCAGTAATTGTATTTTTCTTATTTTTCCCATTTCTTCGACTCTATTCCTCTATGATATACATTCTAGAGCTGAGGTATTATGTTGACTCTTTCTTGTTTGTCATTTTTTTCTTATGAGAAGTACTAGTGTATGCATGAATGGAACTTTCTTTGCTCTATACATTTATTTTTTTTGTTTAGTATATATAGTGGGAGGCCTACAAGGCCTGTAGGCCATGTCAGGCTTTCTTATTTTTGAAAATGGGCCGGGCTTGGCCTACACATAAAGCCTTTAATAGGCCAATATGCCAGATAGGCTGACTTTTTTTTGACGTAGGCTTGGGCCAGAATGGCCAAAGCCCAGCCCAGCCCAACCCATTTACACCCCTAGTCGTTGGACTATAATATCCCTGTCAATATGGAAAGTTTCACCGGGGCGCTTTTGGAAGCTGGTGACGTTAAGTTTGTGCCAACTCCTGCCTATATGCTTGCTTATATTTATACAGCAATTAAGATAGACGTTATTTGCATTTTCGTTTTTGGGTCTTCTAAATAAACTAGTGAATTACCAGTGCGATGCTCGGGGGAAAAAGAACGAAATTATTGTCGGCCGTCGTTAGTTAATCATCGCTTCGGGTAAATCAACACCTTCATCGTAGTGTGAAACTTTGAATTTTAATGTGCTAGAGATATAAACATAAAATTATAAATATAAAGGAACAAAAAACACAAAAAAGCATATCTGTTTTGAAATGGAAATGAATTATCGTGCTATATTGAGATACTTTTGAACTTGAAAAAACTACCGCATTCACGCAGAACTTTGAAAATAACAACTTGCCAAATTCTTGAATGAAGCAAAAAAGCGACAGAGTCCAGGACAATGCACAACAATCAATGCAGCCAAAAAATTCCGGCTGTATTTTTTTTTTTTTCTATCTTGCTTTCCTTGGGCAAAGAGGACACGTCCAACACCCTACAAAGACAAAAAGAAAAAAAAAAACAACCAGAAATTATTTGGGATGAACACTATCTGAGAATAGAAATTTTAAATGAATATAAAATTACAGGTCGCATTAAACAAACTGGTCAAACATTTGGGATTATTTATATATTGGTCATTAAATATAAAACACTTATATTTTAAGATGCAGAAGAAATAGAATAAAATAAATCTTGTCTTACAGTGGACACAAAGAACTACACTAATCTCTGAAATAGTTCCTTGTAGACGATGTTAAAGGTGTTGTCTGTAATACAACCATTATCTTCAATCTATGTTTGCCCTTTACTCTCGATAGTGCCACATTTAATTGCCCATGAGTGAAGACAGACCTAGTGAATTACCTGTGAGATGCCCGAAGGAAAAAGAATGAAATTGTTGTCGCCGTCGTTGCGTCTAGATTACTATCTATCTAAGTCTTTTATATTTAGACAGTAAACATAAGGGGAAAAAAGTGTAGGAGGGCGGGGTGGGCCGGCCCTCCGGGCCGAGCCTATTTTGTCACCTCTAACTGTCAGCATTTTATATAAGCATGTAATAGGTTTTTATATCTATCCACAAAAAAGATTCTTATAATTGCGTCTAGATTACTATCTATCTATCTATGTTTTCTATAGTTTGACAATAAACATAATAATAGATATAAAAAACTGCTGGCGAGCATGGGTGGGTTGGCCCTCCAGGCCGAGCCTATTTTGTCACCTCTAACTGTCAGCATTTTATATAAGCATGTAATAGGTTTTTATATCTATCCACACAAAAGTTCTTATAGTTGCGTTTAGATTACTATCTATCTACGTTTTCTATATTTAGACAGTAAACATAAGGAAAAAAATGTGTTGGCGGGAGAGGTGGGTCGGCCCTCCGGGCCGAACCTATTTTGTCACCTCTAACTGTCAGCATTTTATATAAGCATGTAATAGGTTTTTATATCTATACACAAAAAAGATTCTTATAGTTGCGTCTAGATTACTATCTATCTATGTTTTATATAGTTTGACAATAAACATAATAATAGATGTAAAAAACTACTGGCGAGCATGGGTGGGTCGGTCCTCCGGGCCGAGCCTATTTTGCTACCTCTAACTGTCAGCATTTTATATAAGCATGTAATAGATTTTATATCTATCTACACAAAAAAAGTTCTTTTAGTTGCGTCTAGATTACTATCTATCCACGTTTTCTATATTTAGACAGTAAACATAAGAAAAAAAATGTGTTACCAGCAGGTTGGGCCGGCCCTCCGGGCCAAACCCATTTTGCTACCTCTAACTGTTAGCATTTTAAATAATACAAAATATTCTTATAGTTGCGTCTAGATTACTATCTATATATGTTTTCTATAGTTAGACAGTAAACATAACGAAAAAAAAACATGTTGGCATGCTAACCTGCATATTTGGCAAGCAGGCTAGGTCGGCCCTCGGAATAATCTATTATTTTAAGTTTTTAATTTATTTTATTTTAAAATATAAACATGTCATTTCTTATTTTTTCAATTAAATTTCAAATTTAAATTATTTTTTATCATCTATACATATAATTTCATAATTTTAAATATTTTTTTCGTTTTATATTAAAATTATATTTATTATATATATCTTTTTCTAGTTTTATAGTTAATTCTAATAAGTATAATAATTAAGCCCAATAGACATAATAATAATTCTTATTAATATATGCTTAAAAAAATTTCATGAAGAAAGTAGTGAACGATATTAAATGATGAATCTTTTCCCACCTAGAAAGTTCAAAATTCAAATTTAAAAAGTTTAAATTTTCAATACTAAATACTTTCCCTCCCAATCGACATAATAATAAATATTATTAATAGGCTTAACAATTTTTTATGTAAAAAATAATAGGAAACATGCATAAAAGTCCGTGCACATTCTCCAAGTAATAACTTCTAATATTTACTCTTCATAAAAAAAACTTCTACTATTCACTTACGACATATGAAATTGTGTTAATTACACTCTTACATAAAATGAATGAAAATTGAATTTATTTCTTATTTATTACATTAAAATTTACATTTGTATAGTGGTCAAATTTTTATAATTTATTATTTACAGAATGATAGATATCATTATTAATTTTTTATTTAAATTTAAAAAAATTAAATTCTTTTGTATTATTTATATATATTTTTTAAAAAATAAGTTTTATCTCTTTTTATTAATAGTTTCTATATATAATTTTTAAATTGGTTATACATATATATATTTAAAACTTTGATATTAAATATTTTCTTAAAATTACTTGTACGGAATTTTTTTATCTTTTGTAATCTTTTTAAGTTAAGCTTTTAATTTATTTTCGTATAAATATGTCATTTCTTATTTTTTTTTTCATTTAAATTTCATTTCTAAATTATTTTTTATCAACTATATATTTATTTTTATAATTTTAAATATTTTTTTTGTTTAATCAGTAATTTTATGTTAAATTTAAATTTATTATATATATCTTTTCTCAAGTTTTATAGTTAATTCCAATATGAATAATAATTAAGCCCAATAGACATAATAATAAATATTATTAATATACTTAACAATTTTTCATGCAGAAAGTAGTGAAAAATATTAAATGCTGAATCTTTCCCACCTGTCAAGTTCAAAATTCAAATTTGAAAAGTGTAAATTTTAAATTTTAAATATTTTCCACCCAATAGATAAAATAATAAACATCATTAATAGGCTTAATAATTTTCTATGCACAAAGTAGTGGGAAACATGCATAGAAGTATGTGCACATTCTTCAAATAATAACTTCTAGTTATCCATTCACAACATAGAAAATTGTGTTAATTACACTCTTACATCAAAAAATGAAAGTTTAATCTCTTTCTAATATATTAAATTAAAATTTACATTTTATAGTGATTATTTTTTCCTATTTTTTTTACATAATGATATTTGTAATTTGTAATTTTTTATATTAAATTTTAAATTGGTTATTCACATAAATCTAAAATATTTATGTTAAATAATTTTACTTTTGATTTCTTGTACAAATTTTTTTCTCTTTTTGAATCATTATTTTAAGTTAATGTTTTAATTTAATTTATTTAAATTATAAATATGTCATTTCTTATTTTTTCAGTTAAATTTTAAATTTAAATTATTTTTATCAACTATAAATGTTTAACTCTTTTCCCACCTATAAAGTTAAAAATTCAAATTTAAAAAGTTTTAAATTTAAATTTAAAGAGTTAAACATTTAATGTTTTCCACTACTTTCTGCAAGGAAAAACGTTAAGCATATCATAAAAATTATGTTTTTTGATAGAACTATACATATATTTTTACAATTTTAATTATTTTTTCGTTTAATATATAAATTTATATTAAATTTAAATTTAAATTTATTTTATATATCTTTTTTCTAGCTTTATAATTAATCCTAATAGGTATAATAATTAAGACCAATAGACATAAAATTAAAGATTATTAATATGCTTAACGTTTTCCATGCAGAAAGTAGTGGAAAACATTAAATGTTTAACTACTCTTTTCCCACCTATAAAGTTAAAAATTCAAATTTAAAAAGTTTAAATTTTAAATATAAAATATTTTTTTCACCAAATAGACATAATAATAAATGTTATTAATAGGCTAGGATACCAAAAAAAAAATGTTATTAATAGGCTTAACAATTTTCCATACATAATGTAGTTGAAAACATGCATAGAATGTTGCGCACATTCTCCAAGTAAAAGTCTATAAAATACTTAATGGCAAACATCCTTTTACGATGCAGAAGTTGGATGGTCATTCATTTTAGTTGAGTTATTAATAATAATAAATAATTATTAAGATTTGTGGCTTTTACAACAATCTAAATTATTTATGTTTCTTAAAATTAAGTCCAATAGACATTGATAGGGAATAAAATAACAAAAAAGAGATGTTCTTGCCAAAGAGTCAAATTATTTAAAATAAGATTGTCTTATTCTTGGAAGTAGGGATTATAGTGTAGGATACATAAGAAAATTGAGAAGAAAAAATCTTGAATATAAGTGATACTAAACAACAAAATATCAAGTTCGATTTTGATCTCGCTTGATACCGTTTTTTGAAGACTACAACCTCTGGTACATTTGAATCCAAGATAATCCTTATCATATATAGAGAGACAATTAGAGTATAAAAGAGTTAAAAATAATTAACAAATATTAAAAAAAAAAAATAAACCCTTTATCCTCGCAAACTGGAGTATTATGATGTTCTGAGAAGACTGATTGTTTTCCAAAAACGTTCGCACTTCATCCACATACTGTTCGCATAAAGTGACTCAAGCTTGTGACCCCTAAAACCCTTAATCCTTGCAAGCTGGACGATTACAACGTTTTGAGGAGACTCGTTCTTTGCTAAGAAGGACTGCACTTTACCCACATGTTGCTCCCACAAAGAACGAAATGGAAAAAGAAGTAAAAAGAAACTAACAGAACGCAAAGTATTACCTTCTCATCTAATAGAACCATGTCCAGATTGTCGTCAAAATATTTATGCCGAAAATTAGGAACCTTCCAAGTCCTAACCACTCTC